CAATGTAACAACTAAATATTTTCTCTCTCACTTTTTATAAATTCTCTAGAAACAGAAAATAGAAAATTTGTTTTTGTGTTACGTTAGCTACGAGTTGTTTTATAATTCTATTACCTTTTTCTAATTTTGTAAATAATCCGAAATTTCATAAATTCTTAACCTTTTTTCTGGCACCTATCAGTGACTTTATGTGATTTCTACCTGAACTCCGAATTGCCGTACTTTGAGCTTCGCCCATTTATTGCCGTCAATGCAGAGATAAAACTCCGAATGGTCTATAACTCATAACTTTGCATTACAAAAACAGGATTGCACCTGACGGACGTGTGTCATGTAAACGTGCAATAAAAGTCCACATTCATTTCCGTGACATACCTGCGATCTATCTGAGTGATCGATCGTGGCGCGCCGATTACAATACCGATTCTCATGGTCTTCGCCGCGGCATGCTAATTTCATCTCGTGTGAAACAACAAACATGTGGCCTTTAAATATAGCGAACCACCGTGCATTTAAAACGATTCATCCCCGAGCGCAGCTCATCCATGAGAAAGTAACGACAGATGGTTCAAAACGACGTGCCGAGAACGAATCACCGTGGTGGTCGGCTAGCAGGTTGACGCGGATGGTTGAACACTGCGTCATTTGGTTTCCAATCAGTGCAAACGCATCGGGCTAATTATGGCGTGGTTATATAACCCTTATACCTAAAAGTGATGTGTAGCTATATCTATCTACCTGTTTCTATCACTTGTAATGATTTTTCTGCAATACGATTACAATAAACAGATGAGATATAATAAGTACGTATTTTATTACAAGTTTACAACCATCTCTTTTTAACTCTTTTTAATACGCACAAATGAAAAATTTGTAACATATTAATGATAGACATAAGATAAGATTGATTAAAGCATTATCTAGAAAGATGTGATCTTTTCTCTTGAATTTGTCAGAATAAGTTTTTCTTTGCAGATGCAGAAGGGGTGCGTCGGCGAAGCGAGCAGATGACATTGCTCTAGATCAATTATATATGAATACATACACTGATAGCAAGCGGCTGTCTTTTAAACACATGTCACTACATTCCCATGCTCGTTTACCGCGTGCCACCTGATGGTGCGTGAAATGATAGAACGATGGGAAACGAGTCATTTAACGATACAACATTACATACAGAAAGTTATGTATAACTGTATGTACATCTGTGTCGATTTCTACTATTTGCGATGATTTTTCTTTAACTCTACATCACTCTCGTGTGGGTTTTTTTTTACGTAATTACTCTTGCATGGGGTGTATTTTACACTCCGACATTATATCTTAATTTTTATTCTTCTCTTTAATTATTTAAATTAGTAAATAAAGATTGATAATATTCTATGTCTTTCAAATAGAGATAAAAGAAAATTTTTTTCTTTAATTATGAAACAATTTGTGCAACATTCAATCAGTATAAAAAATTTTAATCTATGTATTTAATAGATTTCTAAAACCGTGGCGTATTTTATGTCCTACACGAATAACGTAGAGTTTTTACGATTATATAGTAAACAGATAAGATTCATACTTCATTTAGGTTTAGCATATTCTTTTTTAACTCTTTTTAATATATGCAAATTAACAATTTATAATATATTGATATAAGACATAGATATGTATGATGACAAATACAATTGATGATAAACAAGATTCCCTATGTTCCTCTCTCAAAATTATTTTTAAAAAAATCTTTCTAACAACTTAACATTTTATTTGTCATTTTAACGCACCTGAGTTTAATACATGTGTTTAAAACCGTACGGACACCGTGTTTTTGAAGCATTCACCCGGGCACTCTGAGACTTTTAAGTCTAATGCCCGTTTCCATCAACGTCGTTTAACTTGAACCTTAGTTCAATTCACTCTTTGTCTTTTTCTAATGGACTCTCTTAGAAACAGACAAAGAGTGAATTGAACTAAGGTTCAAGTTAAACAACTTTGGTGAAAACGGGCGTAAAAGGTTTTTGAAAGCGTTTCTGTATTACAAAAAATCTATAAAAATTCATGTGTCATCTTTAAGGTTTCAAAAAGTGATTTCTATACCTACATAGATCGGAATTGCTGCATTTTTTTTTTAAGAGCACTGAAGGCCATTCCCGTGGGAATCATAAATGAAAAATCGACTGTGTCTTGACAGATTCAGCGTCCGCACAGTGTTAATGGATATTTAATCGTAATATTTTTGTCCGTCGTTTGTAACGCTTGCAAATGCGTTACAAAGTAAAACTGATGGAAGATCAATACGAAAAAAGTTTAACGGCAGGACGGTTATTTTTTGCCGACAAAACTCGTGCTGTCCGAGTGGAGAGGCAACGATGCGTCGTCGCCATAAAACGAGTCATATGCGTTTCGTGGATTAGAGACTCGGTCTATCAACCCCCTTGCAATTATATCAAGAAGTTGGTAATTTTGCATAGCAAAAGTTCGGCCGGAGAACACATCATTTTACGCCACGTTTAGCCGGTCCTCGTCGGGTCAGACCGACCGGTCGCGGCCGGCCCGTTTTCCTCTCCTCTCTTTCTCTCATTGTCGTTCACCCTTTGCATGCGAACGTGCACCGGCCACGGGGATGCGCGCAACAAACTTTTCCCTTAATTTCGTGGTCACGAACACGCGGTGCCAACTTTCGGCTTTCGGCGAGAGAAGGAGAAAACGTCGGCCGAAATAAAAGCCGAAATAACCGTCGCTGGCCAGTGAATTACATATCCGGAATTATACATATTCGCGGAACTCGGTTCTGCCCTTCTCCGCCTCCGAATTTTAGATGTCGGATGTTCCAGCGTGTGTACGGGGTATTTCCAGAATTGAAGTTTACAATTCTGACGTAACGTGTACACCTATAACATTCGGGCTGTTTTTTTGTCGGTGGCCACCCACGGTTCAAATGAAATAATTGATAACGGGGAAACACGTGCTCGCGCTTTAGAGTGATACTTACCGTCTTCGTGCCGTACGGCGAACGTACGATTTTACATTCCCCTCTTTCCGCAAGCCACACCTCCGGACTAATGACAGTATTTTTCGCATATATGCGCGATTGAAAACGCGCGTTTACGCGCATTCACGCGCCTCATCAAATATTCACGCGATTTTTACAGCAACCCCGTAAAGGGGCTTTCCCTCCTCCTCCTCCTCCTTCTCTCTTCCCTCCATCTTTTCTTCCCTCTTTCCTACTTCGGACATGGAGGAAAAGACCGTATGCGATTGTTGCTATAAAAATCGCATGAATATTTGACGCGATACGTGACAGAAGGAAGATGATCGGCGCCCGAGCTCGATTCCTCGACGATGAAAAATTCAATTGCGAGTGACTCGCGAGCCGACCGACCTGCAAATTTCATGTCGACCGCGTGACGGCGAGTGCAGAAACGCGTTGCGTGATTCCGACGCGCGCCCGCGATCGTGGGCACGCGTGCACGCGCGCGTCCGCTCGCGCGACTTCCAAGTTTCCCTCCTGGGAAGGGAAGAGAAAAGGTGGACATTCCTCGTCGCGGCGAGGGGTGCTGCCCTGTCATTCGGCCGCAACCCGTCTGCTTTCCGCTTGAACATGTGCACCGCATTTTGCGCATTACCGTACCTCCTCGTTAATGATTTACCCCCAGGAACACCCGAGGTCCTCTCTCTCTCTCTCTCTCTCTCGGTCACATACGCCGCCAAGAAGGGTGAGCGCCTTTTAACCGTGAATATTATAAAGAAAAAGAGCGCCTCGCGTGCGCCCGGGGAAACTTTTCGATTTGTCGCTATTACCGACAATTGAAGTATATACGTAAGAAGCGGTATAGAAACGTATAATATGGAAGTTGAGGCTTGATAACCGAGGGTGTGACTCTCACGAACAATCCTCGAAAGTTTTGATGGCCGAGTCTGGAAGAACTAACGACGAGTGCGCGTATTTAGTCACGATATCGTAATGTAAAGTCGTCATCAGCGTCGCCAGTTGGAATGTACCAATCAACAGGTTGTCGCATGGTGTTTACAGCGCGCGCGTTCCACGCTCGCAATTTAAAGAATTAAACGAGCTCTGGCCCCGTTGTTCTCGCACTTGGTCTTGCCATCGCGACTATAATAACTACGGCAGAGATAAAGAAACCGACGGGACAGATCGAGAGAGCGAGCGAGATCGGGGCCCGATACCGAGCAAAGTGTCGTGTTTCTGGCTGCTCACTTAGGATCACTGAATGCAGCAGCCACATCCGGTCTATTCATGGCCCATTCACGATCTCGTCGGTCTCAATGGCGTAGGCGGAGCCCGTGACAAGGAGTTGGTACCCCATTACAAACGCGCGCGCGCGCTCCCGCTCCCCTTCCCGTTATCCCCGTGCGTCCGAGAGCCGCGGGTTTATGGTGTGCGTGTGTATACGCACGCATATTGTACCACGTTCCCTCCTGCGGGAACTATTGGCGACAAATCGATCCATTCACGTCCGAAACGTCATTCAGTGGGCTCGTGTTGTCGCTCGTAAACGGGTTTCGACCAAAATACCGGCATTTTTCACCAGCCAGAGATTAACGCGCCCTTTCCATTGATTGTCAACGACAATGCCGTGCTTACTCGCCGGCCGGCAACGACTCCTTCCTTGAACGCGACGAAGTTGACGGCGAGGACTGTATCGAATTGATTGACGAGGGAATGATGAAGTGCCTCTTCGCGTCAGCGCGTTCCTCGGGCGGACTACCGAAGTCGCTGCCTTGAGAAAACGTCTGTCAATCGAGAGGATCAAATTGCGCTAACATTTCTTTAAAGGGACTACTATACCTATTGAAATATGCAAAAATATGGAGAAGCCAAGCTTGCCCTCTTTCTACATTTTTCAGATCTTTCTAATTTCTTACAAGAAATAGCAATATATCAAAATATTCTTTTTTGTTTTTAGATAAAAAGTTTTGTATGTAGATGAATTTTTTTTTGTATTTTGTCGTTATTGTATGGAATGTTTTTTTTCGTTTCAGGCCGTATTCTTTACGACATACCCTGTAAGGTATGCCGGGATCACTCTTCGGGAAAGCATTATGGCATATTCGCCTGCGACGGATGTGCCGGTTTTTTCAAACGGTCGATTAGAAGGAACCGTCAATACGTATGCAAGGCGAAATCCGAGGGTGGTTGTATGGTCGACAAAACGCATCGGAATCAATGTCGTGCCTGTCGATTGGCAAAATGCATTCAGGCCGGCATGAACAAAGACGGTAATTGAGGCGTTCTCGCGCCAGTGCTCTCATTCTCGCCGTTTCTTAATATATATTTTTTAAATAAATCTTTTTTATGAAAATAGTATAGCTATCATATCTTTCCACCGCTTGTTAATGTACTACTACAAGTCTTTAGGACTAAGTGAAACTACATCGCTTTCTTTATAGCTGTGCAACACGAACGAGGCCCACGTAACTCGACACTTCGTAGACAAATGGCTCTATTCCTTAAGGAACCTGAAATTATGAATAGCATGGTAGCACCGCCGCCAACGGCTTTAGACCTTGTTCTACCTAAAGCGCCGTCGGAACCACGCGTCTCCGTACCTGGACCGTCGCCCCACCCTCCCCTTCCGCATCCAGCGTATTGCAACGCATTGACATTATCAAAAGTACGTCTGTATCTAATGTATATCCATGTATAGTGTGTTAATTTTTCTTTAAATTTTCTTTACGAAGAGAATCCAATATAGCATACATATTTTCTAAATATTTTTATAGAATCTAAATAAATTTTTTATAGAATCCATTTACAAAATGTAAGCCTTTTTCTGGAATCTTGGGAGGTTGGGAAACTCATTTCCAACAGCGACGAAACGTTGGGGATCATTGTCTATTCCAGATGCCATCGAATATACCGAATCTACAGTTACCGTTTATACCTTCGATCAATCCCGAGTCTATATGCGAGCAGGCCGCGAGGTTGCTCTTCCTGAACGTGCACTGGGCACGAGATTTGGTGTCGGCGACGAGTCTCGTTATGGAGGATCAGCTGACGTTGCTCGAGTCTTCCTGGCGCGAGCTCTTTCTGTTGGCCGCCGCGCAAATGATTCCTACCCTGGATCCCACGCCTTTACTGCCGCCGAGTCTTCAGAGTATCGGGCTCGCGATCGAAGTGAACCGTTTCCGCGAGACCCTGGCCGGCTTCCACGCGATGAACCTAGACCAACACGAGTTCGCCTGCATTAGGGCGATAGTGCTCTTCAAGGCCGGTCTGGACAGCGAATCGGTGTCCAGCAGTAGGAGCACCAGCAGCAACTCGCCCAGTCCCGGAAGTCGGCTTAGAGACGCGGTCTGCGTTGCTCGGTTGATGGACAGCGCACAACTGGCTTTAGGCCAACGACTCAGCGGGGCCTCCTACGGGACTCTCAGGCTTAATAAGCTGCTACTGCTGTTACCTACCTTGCGATCCGTATCTGCACATGCCATCGAGGAGCTCTTCTTCAGAACAACGATCGGCGTAATCCCGATTGAAAGGATCATCTGCGACGTGTATAAGGCAGCCTAACGCAACAGACCCGTCCCGACAAAGCAATATGAAACTTGAGGGAAATATTTGTTATGTTTTTGTTCTGGCTCATTAAGATTTTTTTAAATACTCAATATTAATGTATTTTATTTATATGAAAAAAAAGAAACATTTTCTTAATAATTTGAAATTATTTATATTTTCTTCTTTTCATTGCTACACAAGAGAGAATGTACAAAATTTTATTTTAATTTTATTTGTGTATTGCACTGGTACGTAAAATGCAATAATTCTGCAACAATTCTATTGGAGAATTTTAATGTGTTTAATTTTTACTTATAGCGAATTCGATTGGCCGCAGTATATATTCAATGTGTATTGATGTACTTAAAGACTGTATGCATCTATATACATTAACGTACAAACATATATAAGTGATTGAGACTTGTCCGATGTACAGCTCAAACCATTACAGTTTAATTAAATATATATTGAACATTTAATTGACCAAGATTTATGTCATGGCTGTTTCCACCTATATATTATTTAATAACTTAATCTACATTCGTGCATTCGTATGTATCGTGTATTCAACTATACATACTCTTGTATATTAGTGCAGCCAATCCAATTTGCTGTTAAAGAAAAGAAAGATTATATACATAATCGTAAAAAAACATGATATGCGCGAAATATTAGTGTGAGCCTGGAGTGATCACGCGATAGGTTTTAGTTTTATTACCAAGGAGTACGGAGACAAAATAAAATTATGTTTTCCGAGACTCTGGAGTTGTGCAAGAAATTAACTAAAAGAAATTGTCTAAAATGTTTCAAGAATAAAATGCTTACGAATGAAAGAAATGTACTGAAAACTAAAGAAATTATTATAAAAACACATGTAAATACAAATGTAAAAACGATGTAGCTTCGTTACATTCTAGCTAAGATCTAATTAAGTAAGATATGAAATGTGTAGGATGATATATCTTATTGCGACGCACATGTCAAAATCATAAGCGTGTGTATAAATGGGATTTCAAAATATGTAAATAAAACGTTATATATCTTCAATATTTCTCTTTCCTTTCCTTGATATTTTCATTTTGAAGTTTATTACGTACATTTACAGGTATCAAGACAATAGCGCGAGGTAATTATTTTAGGTATTTTTACCTGCTTTCACGGAAATCTAGCGACTAGAAGAGATAAAGATCTACCTTCCATTTATTATAGAAGCGGAGAAAAGCAAAGGGATTACTATACAAACGTTTGAATTCGACCTGATCGTCAGGATCGACAGAAAACGTGGTGATTTCACAGTGATTTGATCTATAATCGCGGTACAAAGAAAACCTGTGTCGTGAACCTCTGGCGCTGTCGGTTATTTTATTTATTTCTTAAGCTAACGTGTAATCACTCGGGCAAATAGTTCTCTAAAGTCCACATCTTTGTTAACGGCTGTCACGCTTCTGTTAGAGAGACTTTGTTATTTCTAAGGTTTGATTCTTTCCAAGATCTTTGTTACATCGCTTTCTCTCGTCAACCTTCTATTAATTCCTTTTACCTTGCTATTTGATTCTGACGCTATGCAAATAAGAATAAGAAAAACATCAGACAACGAAGTCTGAGGACCCGGGCAAGACGTAAGCAGTAAGGAAATCAACGGTACTGATTCGCTACCGCTTGCGTTATGTCTTAAGTTCTGGACTGTAATTGACTGATTTGCTTACTGCTAACGTTTTACTGCTTAAGTTTTTTTATGTGCTCAAGCCTTAAAATCCGGTTAGTCCCCTAACGTAATTATAATTGCACGCTGCGTCGTATATTTTTATTAATTTAGAAATGTATAGAATGGTTTTTCACAAATAGGTTTGCCTATTTTTCTTTCGCGTATATTTTCCAACTATTCTAAATTATACGAAAAAGTTATCGTAATGAAACCTGAATAGAATTTGTCGGTTTGTACTCGCGTTGCGATACGCTTGAGACGCGCGAAAGAATATTCTCACGAAGTTGCGAGATGCGGGACATGTGAAGTAATATTGGCGCTCGGTTCAATCGTACCTGAGCGACTCTCGTTACTCGCATGAGCGAACTCTCGAATGTTGCCACTTACCGACACTAGTACTTCCTTGTGCCTAAATATGTTTATGTCGATACGTATTCTAATTCTCACCCTCTTGCTTGCTCAAGCTGCGTGCACGCACAAAAATTTTCCAAACATCTGAAAATGTTAATAATATATGAAGAACGTAATCTACTTATAAATTTTTATAATTCTATAAGTTATTTACGTGTTTAACTCTTACTTATTGTGTTTCTAATAAAATAATTTACTTTCTCCTATGTAACGTTTTTCTTTTTATAGAATGATAAAGATCTTTAACATGTCAAAATGTCAACGTTTATACGAGCAAATTTTTCACAGAACTTTTATACTTGTCTGTACAAATTCCGAAAGATTTTGCAAATCATAGCATCATACAAAGGAGAATGTAACTGTCACGTTTAGCTAAAAATTTCACCAATTTTACCGAGGTGGAATGTTTACCTGACTAATTCGACGGGCTATTATCCCGACGAATCCGAACAACTTTTTGAAGGATTTCGCTATCCGGTTGAACTCTTGTCCAGCTACTGTTTAATTCAAGATCGGTCATCCAAATAATCGGTTCACCCAACAAGTTCCGTAGCTATCTTTCATTTTTGTACGTTAGAGAGGTCAAGGATCCGTGGGCACCATTGAGTTAAGTTCTTTGTATTTTAATAGATTTTGGGTTGATTTTAATAGAACGTGTCACGTGAAATTTTTACATTAATTTCCACAAAATTTATGTTAAAATCGTGAAGAAACTTTAATCAAAATTTCGAGATACAGTTTTCTATACAAATTTCATTTTCTGATTAATGCTATAAAGATAATACATATTCAAATAATAATGTAAATAATGTAGAAAGATTTGATTGTTAAATTTAATATTAAATTTGAAGGCGAGTTCGACGTGGTTACGCAAATCACCGAGCTCTTCGACAGCGACGAGGGGTGCGTGTATCATTCAAGAGAAACGGAGAGGAGCGATATCGCAGCACCCAATTAACATCTCGATTTAATAAAGCCCTCGAGCCGCCGTATGTTACCATTTCTCGCACAAAGTGTCTGCCAACTAAAGAAAAAAAGAGAGAGAGCGAGAGAGAGAGAGAGAGAGCGCCCGCTTGTCGTCTCTGCACCCCTGAAGCCTGCTCTCGTAATCGAGGAGGCCAACGCTCTTCAGCAAGTAACATTGTAACGTTTCCGAGTGAGTGAATAATAATCCCGGGACTTCCTGAACAATGACGGGCCACTCCGGTGGCAACAATGACGATAACAGAGAGGCGGCATTCTAACGTCATAGGCCTGCTACTGTGTGGAATTCCTCTGGTTAAAATAAAAGCTGTTCCACGGTGCACATGGATAGTACGCACATGTAGATAATTGTACCAAGATATTAAATAACAATAATGTTTTTAATATATCTGGTAAATTGTACGTTCTCAAAACAGCGTTTTAATTTCTACAGATTATTTATCCGTTTTCAGAATATCATTTCGATGTATATCGTTTCTTTTTTCTAATTATACACCAAAATAAAAATGAAAAGAATACATGATTTGAAACATTTCGCGTACAAAAGATATGATGAAAAATTTGTTTAGCAGTTTAGAATGGCTCTCTCTATGAAATTTTGTAAAAGATTTGGTGATTCCAATCGGCGGCTGGCCGTGCGTGTGCATGTGCCAATTTATGTACGAGCGGTTCCCACCGGTAAAGAGTATTGGACAACACCTTGCCACCTCGACTACGCCGCGATGAAAACACACGGCCCAGCTCGAGAACGCGCGGCTCATTCCGGGGAACAATACCGGAAACAATAACGCCGATCTCCCATCGCTCGCCTCCGCCGATCCCGGTACATATCGCCGTATCGTATATAAGTAACAGTAACAAAACGCGATTGGGGCACAATGGGGCGACGATGTAATTGCGCCCCACGGTGGCAACTGGTGCTCGTATATACAAAGAGTACTCGACTATATGTTACAATCTCGATTTCGTCGCCGATCCTCGAAGGCTATATAGACGCAAGAGAAACAGGAGAGACAGAGAGCAAGAGAGAAAAAGAGAGAAATAGAAAAGCCCGGAGAGACCGCGTCAATGCCGCTCAAGTGACCTCTCACGAATTGCGCTTTGCTTTGTGCGCCATTGTTGGCTTTGTTTTGAGGTAACAAAATAGAAAACGCGACCGCCATTCTAGTCAATTAGCGACCATGTGATCCCTCGGATGCATCCCCCAAAGTGCAGGGATATTTCTCCAAATTCTCGGCACATTTATGCCATCGCAATCTGAATTTAAAATCCGTAGTTTCATATAACATTATTATTCCATTACAAATTTCTCTTAATTTAAATTGAGACTATCAGTATAACGTTGATCTAATCATCTAATGCGTCTAACAAAAATCAGAGAGAAAAATATGATGTTAAATGCATTAAATCGTTATTATTGCGTTGAAGTCTTAATTCTTGCTAACGTCTTAGTTCATTTTTATATCAATATCAAATCTAAAAAGATGAAAGAAATAAACGATCTAAATCGAGTACACCCCGTGCCGCGTTACGGAGAGGTTTCGGCTTGCCCTCGATATAATTTATTCGGACAATAAGCATGCGTCTAACAGGCGTTCTACCCCTCCGCCACCGCGCCGGGCCACAGGCATCAGTGTCAGGCACGGTGATGAGCCCCTCAATGACAGCGACCAACATAATCTGTTCCCATCAGCCAAGTAGACATAATGGACGCATCAGCGGCGGGAAGCGACAATGGGAGCCGGATAGCATTTTACAGGAGCGCGCGCGGTGGTTGCGCCCGAGAATCGACGGGGGTGGTAAAAGTAGGGTGACTAGTGAGTGGGCCCGCGCGCGCGAAGGGGCGAGCCGTAGGGTGAGACTGTCGTCGTCGTCGTCGTTTCCTAGTGGCACGCTTAAAACGCGCGGATGCACGCACGGGTAACGCAACGCGACGCAACGCAACGCAACGCATTCGGCCCACCTCAGGTTCACGGCGCCGAAGGCTTCGCTT